CGGGTGGTGTAGTGGGTAACATGTTGGGCTGTTAACCACAGGGTCTACAGTTCGAATCCACCAGCTGCTCCTCAGGAGAAAGCTGAAGCTTTCTGCTCCTATGTAGATTTATAGCCTCAAAAACCCTATACAGAGTAGATCGGTGTTGGAACCGATGCATTGTATGCTGTTGTTGTGTGCTGTTGAGTAGGCACAGCAGAAGGAAATACTTACCAGCTTCTGAGCCATCCTTACTGTGACTATGTCAATCCATCTCAGTGGCTGAGCCATCCTTACTGTGACTATGTCAATCCATCTCATTGGCTGAGCCATCCTTACTGTGACTATGTCAATCCATCTCATTGGCTGAGCCATCCTTACTGTGACTATGTCAATCCATCTTATTGGGGTTTTCCTCTTCTTCACTAACCCTGTGCTTTTCCAAGCACGATATCCTTCTCCAGGGACTGGGTCCTCTTGATATCATGTTCAAGGAAGTCTCACCATCCTTGATTCTAGAGAGATTCTGGGTGTACTTCTTCCAAAACAGATTTGCTTGTTCCTTTACCAGGCCACGGTACTTTCGATGTTCTTCTGCAACACCATAATTCGAATACATCGATTTGTACATATGTAACTGATATACTAAGCTCTGGTAGTGTGGTGAGTTACGAGTTGGACTGCTAACTGCAAGATCAGAAGTTCCAATCTAGCAGCTGCTCTGTGAGAGAAAAATGAGGCTTTCTGCTCATGTAAAGATTTACAGCCTTGGAAACCCTATACAGGATTGCTATGAGTCAGAACTGACTCTATTGCACATAATCACCGCAAGTACCAATTGATGTATTATATAATATATAGTAATCTTTGTGTGGTGCTGCAGGATAATGCACTGGACCACAACGTCAGTTTGAACATCAAGGTCACTGTTCAGACCCACCAGCCGCTTCCTGGAAACCCTATACAGTTGGAACTGACTCGACAGCACTTAACAATAACAATCCTAGAATATGGTAGGATCTAGAAGGAAATGGGAAATCCAAGACCCAGCCTCAGAGAAGCATATTGGCTGGGACAGTGTCGTCTCAAACACCAGGTCTCCTGGTGCCCCAGGAGAAGGTTGAGAAATTGGGTAATCAGGAGGTGGGGGAAGTGCCAAGACGGTTTAATTTCCTACCAGAATGGTGGAGAAAGGAGCCCTGGTGGTACCGTGGATAAAGCATTGGTTTGCTAACTGAAAGGTTGGTGATTGGAATCCACTCGCCACTCCTTGGGAGAAAGATGAGGCAGTCTTCTTTATAAAGATTGACAAACTGGAAACCCTATGGAGCAGTTCACCTCTGTCCTGTTGGACTCAACTTCATGGCAGTGAGTATGTATTTTAAAACTGTATATACTACAGATGATATGCATGTGCTTCTATCTAGTTTTCTATCATCTATCTATCCATCAATCTCTCTGGCTGTTATGTGCCATTCAGTGTGTTCTGTTTAGTTCCAATTAGAAGCGCCCATAGAGTTTCCTAGGCTAAAATATTTTTTGTGTGTGTTCTACCTGGACTCCTGGTGTGGCGCTGTAGGATAAACACTGGACTCTGAATCACAAGATTGGTGGTTCAAACCCACCAGCTGTTCCTAGAAAACCTCATACAGGGTCTCTATGAGTTGAAACCGACTCAATAGCACTTAACAATGAAGTCCGACTTAGACTCCTGGTCTGGCATTGTAGGATAAGTACTGGATGGCAAATCATAAGGTTGATGGTTCAAGCCCACTAACTGCTCCTTATGAAACCCTGTACAGGGTCACTGTGAGTTGAAATTGACTCAATGGTACTTAACAACAAGAACAATAGTCCGACCAGTAGTGCTATGGCTCCATACAATAAGCACTGCATTGTGAACCATAAGTTCCAAAGTTTGAGCCCACAAGTCACTTCACAGAAGGATGAGGCTTTCTCCTCCTTCAAAGATTTAAAGCCTCAGAAACCCTATTCAGGGTCGTTATGAGTCAGAACCAACTCCACAGCACAACACCATCCCCATTGTCCTATCTATTGCTTGTCTGAAAATTAATTGCTCATGAGCTTTTAAGACTTTAGACTCTACCAAAGTAGGTTGTAAAACATTGGCTTTGGGGACAATATTATGCCACCTGAGACTATGGTCCTGAGCCCCTAGGCTCATAGTCTGATACCTTCATGGGAGCAGATTGCCAGGTGTTTTCTCCTGTGGACTCGTAGGTTCAAATCCCCAGCCTTTCAGTTAGAAGCCAAGCTGTTGCACAAAAAGGCTCCTTCATATTGCAGGGAGGGGGTGGGGGTGGAGAAATATATGTATATGTTGTTGTGGAGTCCTGGTGTGGCACTGTAGCATAAGCACTGGACTGCAAGCCACAAGGTCGGCAGTTCAAACCTACCAGCTGCTCCTTGGAACCCCTATACAGAGTTGCTTTGTTTGGGAACCGATTGTTATTATTAAGTGCCATTGAGTCAGTTCTAGCTCATAGCGACCCTATATAGGATTTCTGAAGTGGTAAGTCTTCACGGGAGCACAAAGGCTCATCTTTCTTCCAGAGTGGCTCAGGTGTTTGAAGCGCTGACCTTACAGTTAGCAGTCTAATGCTTGTCCTACAACATCACACCAGGACACACACATGCTCTGTCTCTCTCTATATATTGCAATACCTGTAATATTACATGATTTCTAGTGAAAACATCCGTGTACTACTAATACTGTAGTGATTTTTTTGCCGACATTGATAATTGAGGGAAATTCAGGTAAAGATTATGAGTTTAAATTGACCTGAGAACAGTGGGGTGGTTTCTTTTTTTGGGGGTGGGTGGGTAGTGAAAATGAAGATGTAAATGCTTTTCATCCAAGTTTATGAACCTGTGAATTAGAACCAGCTTGATTAATTCCAGGTTTACAACCCTTTAACAAAATGTTGTTTAATGCCATCAAGTTGGTTCCAACTCATAGTGACCCTGTATAGAGTTTCCAAGGTGTGGCTGGTGGATTTGAATCACTGACCGTTGCAGTTCAAACTGATTGCTGTCCAGTGCTTACCCTAACGCCACACCAGAACTCCAAACAAAAGGTTATTGTTGTTATGTGCCGTCACATTAGTTCTGGCTCATAGCGACCCTGTATAGGGTTTCCGAGGAGCGGCTGTTGAGCTTGAACCGCCAACCTTGTGGTTCAAACCAGTCTTTCAGTTCAGACCCTGCATCCACTCAGATGTTTGTCAGTCCAAATTTATGGCTAAACTGTTAGTGTGGAATGGCCAGCAGGGGGCAGCATATGACTGGAAGTGGGGGATTCGTTTCAGAGTGGAGTTGGGGCCTAGTTTTATGTCTGAAGACCAGTCTGATGATAAACAATTAGATCTAAAAGCTGAGCTGCTTGCCACCTGTCTTATTTGTTCTGGGGCCCAACTCATGCCTAGGTGTGCTGCATGGGCTGTTGACTGAGGGTCCCTGGAGGAGATGCCATCTGCTCAACCTAGACTGGCAGTATAGGCTAGGTTTGTCTGAGCACTGTTAAGTCCTCCTAGGAAACATTAGCCTTTCCTTGGGGCTTTGGGTATCACGATACAGGCCCATAGTTGATCAGAGTTGGGATTTATCATCATGTGTGGGCTTGGAAGACAGCCTTCACCTCCTTCCTGTACAGCTGGATGGCTCTTCATGGGTATAGGTGCTGGCCACTTCCTAGCCTACCCTACCTTTCTAGCCCTGGACTCAGTCTTAGAGTCTCTGGGAGGGATGGTGCTGATATAGTGTGGGATTTTTTTATGGGCTCTTCCTCAAAATCATCCTCTGGAGGAGGAAGGTGTTGGTTGGCTATATGCCTCTTGCTCTTGGAGGAAGTCTTGAAGCAGAGATTTTACCTGTGGCTGCTTGGAGACAGACCTGAGATTCATATATGTACTTTTGACTCCAACCCCACCACACCTGCCCCCATCCAATTTCAGGCAAAATTCAAACATTTTGATGACATTAGCTACCTGCTGGCAGTGCTTGGGGTTGGGGGGGGGGGAGCTGTGAATCACAGAACCACCCTCACAGACCAGCAGTGTACAAAGCCCCAGCATCTGCTCCATTGTGTCACTCTTAGTTCCATAGTGTAATCAAGATGATAGCATCTCTTATAACTGGGAACAGGTGGGGACAGGAAGACAGTCTAGAGCGGGGAGATATGAAGGGTGGGAGGATAAGGGAGTGGTAGGTCCCAGAAGGAAGGGGTGTAGGAGGAGGGCTCAAGAAGGCTCATTCTCTCCCTTTCTCTCTGCTCTGCTGCCTCTTCCTACTTCTCTTTGGAAGTTTTCTTGGGAGGAGGCCCTGCCCACCTGCTCCCTTATCCTGATCCATCTAGGAAGTCCTCCTAGATGTCTCACTCTTTGGATTTGGAAACTTCACAGCCCTGGGTGGGAATGGGATAACATCATAGACTCAGAGTGTACAATTGGTGTGATGTGTGGCCTTTTTGCTCACAAGGAGAGGCCCAGAAATGGTAGCCAAGATCACAAGGCACTTGCTTTATTGTTTCAGGACAAGGGACAATGGCAGGCCATTGAAGGGTCTTCTTGTGCTTCATTTGAACCTGAGGCCACCTTCTGGAGTGTTTCGTTATCCCCAGGCCCAGGGTAAACTGAGGGTCCCACTTGGTAGGGTAGGGAATGATGGGCACCTGGGCCACACCCCCTAGCTCCAGGAGCATCCCTTGTACTTTCTGGGTGTCTTGGGTCTGTTAAGCTGTCCAAGCTGGTTGCTGAGAAGAGGCGGAAGGGCATGGGTGCCCCCCTGCCAGCCTATACTAGGCATCCCTTCCCTGAATGAATGCCATCTACCTGAAAGTGTTGGAAATGACTAGAGAGCTGGGGCCTAAACTATGTGAACATCTAGCTAGTGAGGGGGTGAGACTGTGGTGACCAGGAGGGGCCCTTCCTGCATCCAAGACTAGAAGAGGACACATTCAAGTTTTAAAGGGAATTGGGCTCAGTTTGGTCTTGGAATAGATGTTGCCCTCTCCTGTGTGTCACCCAGGGGAGGCCAGATGGAGGATGAGCGGAGCCTGGTCAGAGTGGTGTTACTAAGTGGCAGTATCTCAGGTCCTCTGCCCCCTTGGAGTGCCCAGAGACAACTTGGGGAGAGGTTCTATGTCTCCCCCTCCTTCCTGGGCTGTTGGGATGAAGATGGGGGAATAAATATTGGAGGCTTCTGGGAAAGAATATTCCTGGAGGGCGATAACCTGCAGAGAATGCTGATGTCAGAATGGGGTCCTGAGGTGGTCTTTGACCTGGCATGGGGTTCCTGTGCTTTTGGTAACCAAAGTCCTCAGCTCTCAGTTGCCCCAGAAATGAAGTCAGGTTTTCTTTACATAGAGTTGATTTCTCTGGGTACAAAGTGTGTGGATGGGTTTGCTTTTGAGTAATTTTGTGTATGTGTGTACACGTGGGTTCAAGTGCGGATCTCAGTAAGCTAGGGAGACTTGTTTTCTTCTTGCCCAGAAATTTGTTCTTCAGGGGCCCTGAGTGAGGCGCTGGCCTACCAGGTGGAAGAAATGTGTGAGGGGCAGCGTCCTAGAGTGGTGTCCTCTACACCCCCTGCTGCCAGCTAACAAACAAGTTGGCTTAGTGGCATAAGGGACAGGTAGTGCTTTCCTTCCTTGACCTTTCAGGTGAGCCCAATGTGGGCGGCCAGCTGGGACTTCTAGGTCAGGCAAAGGCTGGAACTGATGCCAGGCACAGCTCATGCCAGGGCCATGGGCTTGGAGCTGGGGCTGAGGTACACAGATGGGCCAGCAGGGGCTGTGGGAGGCGTGGGCTCCAGCTCCATGAAGGCTGAGTAGAGGGTGGTGAGGTGCAGGTCACCCAGTGCCCCGGAACCCCCACTGCCTTGTGCTGCCAGCTCACCCGCCCCACTGCCTGTCTCAGCCAGGCAGGGCCCAGGGGGGAAGCAGTGGGGTGGTGGTGGTGGCGGTGGCATGGAAGATGGTGTCGGCGACGAGGTCACCAGTACCAGGGGGTCCAGGGCCAAGCTATCATCCTTCAGCTGTTCCCACAGATTTCCTGGTATGATGAGGAGGAAGGAGAGAAACAGCTGTCATTGGAAGGCATCAAAAGACCCCTGTCTGGGTGCTCCCTATCCGCAGTGACTCTTGCATTCTGCAGAAAGTAGAACTGAGGTAACATTGACCAGGGCACAGATTCTGTGTGACTTCAGGCAATTGCTGAAGCTCTCTGAACTTCAGATTCCTGCTCCCATGTAGCAGGGTCAAAGCCACAGATTCAGGTGACCTCTGGTGGCTCTCTTGTTTCAGGGGTGAGGGTCAATAATTTAAAAGCAGCTTAATATTAGGGTGTAAGGAGCTCTGGTAGCGTAGTGGTTACGAATCGGGCTGCGAACCTTAAGGTCAGCGGTTCGAAACTACCAGCCGCTCCGCGGGAGAAAGATGAGGCTTTCTACTCCCGTAAAGATTTACACCCTCGGAAACCCTGTACAGGGTCGCTATGGGTCGGACCCGACTCGATGGCACTTAACAACAACAACAATATTAGGGTTAAAAGGAACTTTGGTAATGTAGTGGTTATGAATCAGGCTGCAAATCACAAGGTCAGTAGTTTGAAACCACCAGCTGTTCCGTGGGAGAGAGATGAGGCTTTCTGCTCCCGTAAAGATTTACAGCCTTGTGCAGGGTCACTATGAGTCGGAACCGACTCCACGGTACTTAAATAATAATAAAAATGTAAGGGTTGATGCAAATGCTGTACACTCTGGAGTTAACCTGGGGAGGGGACTCTGGGAACACTTCATCCTGCCACCTGCCCTGGCTTCTAAGCAAGGATCTTCCCACAATGCATTGCTGGTCTCAGTGAGGTGGGTTGAGCATGATTCCCTGGACTTCCTCCACTGCAGGGCCCAGAGGATGAGAGTAAAGCCAGGAAGCACACCTGACTCTGGGAAACAAAAAGTGGAGCCACCTGATCTCCCTCTCTGTGCTGTGTGTCCTGAGGCTCCTGTTCTGAGTATCAGGGCTGCAAATCCTCCCCTCCTTTCTAACTATAGTTCTTAAGTAAGTTACTTAACCTCTCTGTGCTCCTGTTCTCTGTGAAATGGGTTTAAGAATCCCTTCTGTCTTGTCGGCTCAGATGAGCGCATATGTGAAAAAACTAGTATGGTGCCTGATACTTAATAGGGACTCAAATAAATGTTGTGGTGCTATAGGATAAGCACTAGACTGCAAGGTCGATTTGAACTGTAAGACTGGCTGTTCAAATCCACCAGCTGCTCCTTGGAAACCCTTCATAGGGTCGCTGAGTTGAAACCCACTCGAGAGTACTTAACTTAATGTTATTTTTTTCCACATGTCTGTAGTTTCTTCTGGGGCTGCCTGAGCCTTGCTGTCATCTCTGGATTGGGCATAGTAAAGTAAGGGTCTATCTGTGTTTTTTCTAACAACAGCTTTCTAAGACTCAGGCTGACACCCCATCAAATTGGGGACCCACACAGGGGCCTTCACCTGCTTGTGGATATTGCCCACCAGAGGGCACCCAAAAAGTCTGAAGCTTGGGTTGGCACTCTGACCTCCTGTGTCTGGTCTGGCCCAAGGGCCTGGGAGTGCACTGGAGTTTAGATGGGAACAGGTAGACTTGGCCCCATGCAGAGATGGAGGAGGCAAGATGGGGTATAATGGATAAAACCTTTCCCTGGACTCCTACCCCCACATCTATCCCAGACCTGCCCAGCTCTAAGTGCGAGGGTCTCTCTCCTACTTTTGCAGACTATAACTCACTCACAACCAAGTATGAAATAGAATACTAGACCGTTTCCAGCCTATCCAGAGCTGAGAGTAATTTGATGGGATTGTTGGAACATGTTCACGGCAAGGACATTTCCTCTTTGCCCCCTGCTCTGGATGGCAGGGAGCGTGATCCAATGTGCCAATTCTGGCCTTCTCTGCTTCAGCTGAGAGGATGAGTCAGATGGCCTGGTAGGTACACCTCTCCAGTCCTGTCCCACCTCCCTTTCCCACTCACAGCTCACCTTGAAAGTCAAAGTCGGTGAGAGAGGGGTTGATGGCATCCAGGTCGGTGCCAAGGTCTCCATCTGGTAGCAGGGTGTCATGCACGGTCCTGGCAGGGGATGGCTCTGCCAGCAGCTTGGCGCTGTGGCTGGGTGGGGTGTGGGCAGGCAAAGGTGAGTCCTGGGGGGTGCCTGGCTGGGCCCGCAGCTCAAGGTGCCCATCCGGCTGTGGGAACAAAGGCTGTGGGGGTCCAGGAGGGGCCAGGCCTGGTGAGAGGTGCGGGTATGTCTGCCCGTAGCAGGAGGGTGCATGTCCCCCCAGTAGGTCCTGCAGGGAGTTCTTGCCAGGAATGGGGCCAGCTGCTGGGTGCAGTGAGTGCAGCTGTTGGGAGAGCCCAGCTGGGGGTGCCAGAGGCCGGATGGGGCCCGAGCCTGCCAGCCCAGGGGGTGGGCAGCCCAGCAGTGGGGAGCCCAGCTTCTCCCTCTTATCTCCAATGAGGTTGTCCAGCTCTTCTGAAAAGGTCCAAGAGAAGGGAATATCATGAGCATGGATGGCTCAGTGGCCCTCCCCTGAAATGCCAGGACCTTGAGATCTCACTTTCTCTTCAATCTCTCCCACCCCCAGCCTCAAGTCAGCCTTTTCCTCGTCACTTCTCCCTGCTCATCCTTTACACTCTCCTCTCAACCCTCCCAGCTCATGGGCCCATCCCCCCACCTGGCTTGGCCATGCTTTTGCGAACAGCAATGGGGTCTTTCCTCTTCCACTTCTGCAGCTCTTCCTGCATCTTGTCGATCTTAGCTGGATTGAGGGCCCACAGGCAGCCTTTTCGAGAGGAATTTCCTGATTTGTTCTCCACCTTCTCGAAACACTTGTTCAGGGACAGGTTGTGACGAACAGAATTCTTCCAACCATCAGGTGCTGTCTGCCCAGCAAAAGATGCAAGAATTCAGGTTGGTGTCAGGTGATGGGGTCCAGGGGTCCAGAAAACTCCTTTGTTCTTTGGGCACAGAACTGCCTCCCACCCTGGGACTGGCCTCCCTCCTCAAGCTCAGCACACTTTGGTGGTGGTTATGTGCCGTGGAGTCGGTTTCAACTCATAGCGACCCTGTGTAGGGTTTCCAAGGCTGTAAATCTTTATGGGAGCAGAAAGCCTCATCTTTCTTCCACAGCTCGTAGTTTCGAACTGCTGACCTTAAGGTTCGCAGCCCGATTCGTAACCACTATGCTAGAGCGTGTTTTAAACCAATCCATTTTGAGATCTGAAAGGAGCAGATTAAGCACAGAAGCAAGGAAGACAAATGGGAGAGAGTGATGCCACAAGATCACCAAGGGATCAAGGAAGAGAAGTTGAAAGAGACAAGTGTCTTCCCCCAGAGCAGACAGAACTAGCACTGTGAATTCAGACTGCTAGCCTCCTAAGTAGAGACAACACATTTCTGTTCCCTCGTATTGCTATATAGCAGCACTAGCAGACTTAGACACTGGGTTTTGGTTTATGAGAAAGACTGAGCAGAGGTCCTTAAGTATGTCTCCCTGGTGTGAGCCGTGACTCCGGGGTATGGGTCTGTGACTTCCTGGGAGTATGGGGACGGTGTATGTCTCTGGGGATAAGTGTGTGGGAGAAAGTCTCTGTGGCTCTGTGAGTACCCATGAACCTATGAGTGTGTGGGTGGGAGTGTTTGTTTGAGTGTGCCCTGAGGGGGCGTGGCCTGGTGGGGAGGCCAGCCCTCAGGCTGGGGGTGCTCGTGCCAACAGAATAAACACCCATTAGGAGGCCTGGTCATGCCACCAGTGTGGTAATTGTGCCCAGGGAGGGCTGTAAAAACCATTAGGCTGACTCAGTGGGTGAGAGGCGGTGGCGGGGGTGCCAGTGGGCATTCCTCCTGCCCACCCACCTCCCACTCTCTCCCAGGCTCTGTAGCACCATCAAGTGCTGATTGTAGGGAGAAGACCCCCGTGGCCAGTGGGGCCCTTCCACCCTTATCCCCTCATCCCTCCTCTCCCAGCCTGAAATTGCTGCTTAATGAGGGGCGGCCACTCCCTCCTCACTAGCTCACTTGCCGCAGGGAGCAACAGCCCATCTGAATCACGCCTAGTAGAACCAGGCACTAATGCCAGCGTTACTGCAAGTTGCTGGCAGGAGCTGCTGGAGACTTTCTTGTGGGGAGTGGGCTGGTTGAGATGACCCCCTCCTCCCCAAACTCCCCAGGTCATATGGGAGGATTCTTGAGATACCAGACAGCAAGCTGGGGATTCACCTTCAACTCCCATGACAGTCCCCACAAAAGTCAAAGCTCTGTCTCCTCATGGGCAGAGTTAATGGGCACCAGGCCCTTTTATGGCTCCATAAATGTGTGACTATGGGATGCCAGAGCAGCCCCCACCCCAGCCACTTCCTGTTTGGAGGAGGGATGGTCAGCACCAGCAATTATGCCCAGTGGCTGGACACTTCTTCAGCTCTACATCCCTGAGTCACGGGCTATAGATAAGTCTCCTACCTCGGATGCTTTGGCATAAGCGCTGCCCACCTAAGGGTCTGCTCTGTCCTTGTCCCCCCAAAATGACCTTCAAGTGGAGAGAGGGGGAGATGGTAGGGGTATGGGATGTTTGAACTAATTACTTAAGTGGATCAGAGAACTATCAGAGTTGGAAGGGATCTTATGTGTCAACTGATCTACTCAATCATTTTACAGATTGGGAAACTGAGGTCCAGAGAAGAAAGCCTATCCCTTGTTGTTAAGTGCCGTCGAGTTGGTTCTGACCCATAGCGACCCTGTGTAGGGTTTCCAAGGAGCAGCTGTTGAACTTGAACCACCGACCTTGCAGTTCAAATGACTTTGCAGTCTGGCACATTAGCCCACAGCACCACACTAGGACTCTAGCCTATCCCTGTTGTTATTAAGTGTCGTCGAGTCGGTTACGACCCATAGCGACCCTGTGTAGGGTTTCCGAGGAGCCACTGGTGAACTTGAACTGCCGACCTTGCAGTTCAAACGGCTTTGCAGTCTGACGCATTAACCCACAGCGCCACATTGAGACTCCAGCCTATCCCTAGATCACACAAAAAGACAGTGACATAGCCCAGACTCCAGCTCTGTCCCCTAGTTAAAGGCCCCACCCTGTTCACTCATAGGGCCTGCCTTGCCACCTGGTCCCTGTCCCATCCTTACAGATGCTTTCTCTCTGAAGTCCAACGTAAACTCGGGAGTGAAGGAGTGATGCAACTAGCTAATAACAACAACTCGAACCAAAAAAAAAAATAAAAGCTGTTAGACCTCTTCACTCTTCAGCCCCATAAAACAGGGATTACACAGCTCCCAGGAAAAATAATTAAGCCAGGAAAATGAGATGCAGGGAGGGGCTGGGGGCCAGGCTGGGAGTTGGCAGGGAGGGGAGGTTGAGAGGGATAGGGCAGGGCCCTCACTTCCCTCTCTCTAGCCTGGCTCCAGGAAGCCCTAGAGGGCCCTCCAAAAGTTTTGAGTGTTAGGCTCATTTTGCCCCCTGGGGCATGGGGGACAGCATTAGATATGGGCTCTGATGTCTCCCAAATATCAGAAACAACTCCTCCCCCCACCTTCCAGAACCTCTAATCACTATAGTTTTCCATTCTGGCCAGACTGCTCTGGCCCTCTTGCCCCCTCCCCAGTGGATGGCAGCTGAGCAAGACCAAACTTGTTTGAATCTCAGCCTCACATTATCCCCAGGCAGGACAGTTGGGTGGATGATGCAGGTGGAAATCACCCACTGACAGGTGAAGTTGGGCTCTGGATTACCTTGGCCTCATCTTCTACCCTCTGGCTGGCCTTGGACTTTCTAGAAAAAGCACTCTACACGCACAAGCTGTGGTCTTCCTCATACCCTTCTTCCAACCGCCAGTGGCAGGGGCCTGTGCTGCATTAGGTGCAGTGTGTGTGAAGGGCAAGAAGGAAGGGGATGGGGGCGATTTGTGAAGTTTCACAGCTCAGCCCAGCAATGGATCCTACCTGCGGTGTGACCTTGGGCAGATGGATCACCTCCAGATGTGTTTGCCCGTCAGGGGAGAAGGGCCCTGTCTTGATTCTACAGAGTGAGTTGGGTAGAACCCCCAGAAGCCCCCTCAGGGGATGACAGGAACTACATCCTGCCCATGGGGGGCGGGGTGTAGGGGGTGTTAGGTGAACTAGCCAGTTTCCTAGGTCACACAAAGACTGTGAAGCCCACACCCTGTCTACAGAGGCAGATTGTAATCTTGCCCTGGAAGGCAAATGGGTTCTATGGCCCCAGAATCCCATGTCACTTTGGCTGTCTAGTTCCCACCTAAATTTCTCCAGTCACTCAGGGGTAGGGACAGACTCTCATTTCTTCCTAAACTTTTTCTCCTCACTTGAGGTAGGCAGATACTTCCTGAAGGCTACCAGGACTGATATAGCTTGTTAGACCTGGAGAAGGTCTAAACAGGACCTACTGAGAAACTGGGGTGAGTGGTTTGAGCTCCCTGCTCTCCACATGAGATCCTGCTTCAGGAAGTCTGTCCTGAGGAGGACAAGAGAAGACATGTGAGGAGACAAGTCCCCTCCTAGCTTTCATTCTAATTCTTGCCCCACCTCAGGGTCACATCCTCTGACTTCAGGGAGGTTTGACTTGCCCGGGACTTGGGGGTGGGGGATAGGAGTGGGTCATAGGCTCACCTTGAAGTAAGGAAAGTGTTCCGTCATAAAGTTGTAGATCTCGCTGACAGGAAGGCTCCCGGTTTTACTGTTCTTAAGGGCCATGAAGATGAGGATGCTGAAGGCAGAGAAATCCTCTGAAATTTTGAACCTTTGTCCAGGCTCTGAGCCCACCCATAACCCATAACCCCCATGACTGAAGTAGTGATAGAGGAATAACCAGCTGCAAAATTAATAGGTGAAGAAACTCTATGATGTTGAAAGGAGAGGAAATGGCAAAGTATGCTTAAATGTCCACTGAAGCCAGCCAGGGATGGGAGTATAGGAGGGTCTTGTGAACTCCAAGAGATCTGGGTTTGGTTTGGGGCTTAGCCAGTCACCAGCTGTGTGTGATTTTGTAACCTCTCTGAGCCATTTCCCTCAGTTTTGAAGTGAAGAAAGCAATATATTTCTTAGAATTGTGAGGGTTAAGGCCTAGCACATAGAAGGCCCTCCTTGCACGGGAAGTTGTCATTACCATAATCAGTCCTCAGTCAACTGCTGGAATGCTGGGTAGTAAGGGAGGGAACTCAGGTTTCTTGAGCCTCTGCAATGTGCCAGGCATAGTATCTACAGTCTCTCACTTAATCCTTTCCTTAGTCCTGAATTGCTGTCCCTATGATGGATAAGCAGAGGCTCAGAAAGATTAACTAACTTGTTTGAGGTTTCACAGCTGATAAGTTCCCGAGTCTGGACTTGAACTTCTGGACTCCAAGAGCTATGTATCACACTATCTCTCACAAATCCTTTGTGTTCCTCGCAGATGTTTGTGTTCTTTTTCCTTCCTGTGAGTTCACACTAGCTGAAGACCTGGCCCCACACAGGGCCTAGGATCCAATAAGTAATTGTTGGTTGTACAGATGGAAGGGTCTCCCAGATGGGCTGGGTACTGCTGTTCTGGTCTTTAAAGCACAGCCACACAGCAGTCCCACCAGCTGCCACATGGTGAATGAGTCTTCAGCCTTCATCCATCTCCTATAAAGCTTTGTTTGACTTCTCTCTGTATCTGGGAAGTGGGAAGGGGACAAGCACCTCCTAAACTCACCCTAGGGCATTAGCATCCACATGACTTTCCAGGGTTAAATAAGAGGTCAAAGGTGATCTAGTGTAGCCCCCTCCTCCATGCAGGAATCTTCTCTCTAGCCTCCTCAGCCACCTCCTGTGAGTACCCTTTCACCCTGAGGATTCCATGCCTACGTTTCCCAGGGGCTCCTCTGGCCCTCCCTCTCCACCCCAAGAGTGCAGGGAAAGGTACCTGTAGGAGTAGATGGGTTTTGGGAAGAGAGGCTGGTGCCCATCGGTGCTGGCCTGCGGTGCGATCCGCTGGTATGGGTAGTGTGAGGAGCTCAGGTAGGGTACAGGGTAGCTGCCACCACCTGGTGAGTACTGCAGAGGTCAAAGGGCAGAGTGGTTTCCAAGGCAGCTCCTCCTCCCCTCTCCCCATTCATTTACATTTAGAGAGGGAGCTGAGGCTAGATTCTACTCTTTGTGGTCATGGGCTTCACTTCCCCTTCCCCAATGGCAGAGCCAAGGGTGTGAATGTCTGAGGACCTGTTAGGAGACCCACAAGAGATCTTGGATTTAGGATCTCAGAAGTCTCAAAGCTGCCTTCGTCCAGCTCCTTCCATTTGGATCTTGTGGGCACTTTGGTGGCCCTGGTTATGAGACAGGACCCTGACTAGACTAAAGAGTCTGAGGGGAAACTTGTGGCCCCTGCACCTTTCCAGGCAGGTGCCCCAGGCCTTCCTTGCATCTCACTGAGCAACTGGGCCGGAAGTGGAATGTCCAACCTGGGTGTTTGCTGGGCACTGACTGCCACCTTTTACGAGTTTCAGTGGCTCTTTGAAAGGGCTGGTCCTGATGGTGGGTAGGTGGGGGTAGGAGGTGGTTTTACGGCAAAGGGAGTGGCTGTGGTGCCAGGGATGGTGTTTTATGGGAGGGGGGGCAGGAGACTCTGACTCCCCCAGCTGCTCCAGGCTGAAGTACTCTTTCCAGGTCACCTGAGAGACACTTATGACTGAGTCACCTCTTCTCTGGGTCCATAAAGCCCTGGGTGCGGCCATCTTGTTTGTGAAGGGGGTACAGAATGCAGAGGGCATCAAAGCAGGGTAGGGGCATGGTGAGGCCACTTAAGGTCTGGTGACCCCTTAGCCCTGCTGTGACTCTGTCTCTGGGGGGTAAGCTGACACTGTATTCTGGGTCAGACCCTAAGTCTCAGGATGGCTTCAGCCATTTCCTTCCCAGCAGTGAGGGTGTGTCTTCACTCGTTCCCTCAAATTCCCTCCATCTCTTTCTTTTCCCCACAAAGTAGGCAGCCTGCCCCCTCCTCCCAACCTGTGTCAGTCTCCCTGACTTTGCCAAGATCAGGGCCAATGCCAAAGAGCTTGAAGTAGAACCTGCTCCACAAGCAAGGCCTGTCTCAATGCCAGGCTGCAGGTGGATGGAGCTGGGTGCTGGGCAGCCACTTGCTCTGTCTTGCCCGGTGACTCCTGGGAGCTGCCTGGCTGCTTTGGGGCTCTTTCCTTTATCTTTTTCAAAATCTCCATTCTATCAGTGTAGAGAAATTACTTGGCATCCTTACATCTAGGCAGTGGGGTAGGGAAGGGGAAAAGGGTAGAAACTAATGGAGATCTGGAGCGTTCCAGGTGGGAGGGACCCCTACCTTCATACCTGGTGTCCACTCTTTATAGGCTAAAGGGCCCAAGTCATGTAGCAAGATGGTGGCAGCCCTAGCATCGTGGGTCGTACTACACACTCCTTTTCTCTCTGCCCCATCTATCCTTGGTGATGTTCCCCTTCCTTCCCTTTTTGGTTCACATCCGGTCCCCGTCCCAATCTCAGCTTGGCTCCCTTGTCTGATACCTCTCAAGCCCATCTGCTCTGAGAGAAGGGCAACTGCTTCCCTCCCAATTAGCCACTGCTCTCTTTACCCTACCCTCCACCTTTCACACACAAGGTGACCCAGTATGAGGTTCAGGTCCTTACTGCCCTTACCTGTGATCCAGTACACACACTCATATACACACGCACACACTGGAGAGCCCTCAGAAGAATATCATGAGACCCTAAGGAAGACTGCCCACTTGCCCAGACCTACCTGATGAAAGGGAGGCTGAGAGGGGCAGTACATGTGTTGCAAGGGGGGCTGGTAGCAGTACATTCCAGGACCACTCTCCAAAGCTGGGGGCTTGACCTTGACCTCTGACCCCTGCTGGAAGAGAAAGCAGATGACCAGACTAAGCTTTATTTTCCTCCTTTCTTTCCAGCGTCCAAACCTTTGTTTGACACAAAAGCAGCCCCTGCTCTTCTTCTGGAATCCTGGTGTGTTGCTGTAGGATCAGCACTGGACTGAGAACTACAAGGCAACTCAAACTCATCAGCTGCCCCTTGGAAACCCTATACAGGGTTGCTATGAGTCAGAACCGACTCAACGGCACTTAACAACAACAACTCTTCCTCCATGAAGCTTATTTCTGGAGAAAGAACAGAGAGGGGCAGAGCTTTTGCTAAGGGCACACAGCAGGTTAGTGATGGAGCTGGGATTGGAATCGACAGTGCTCCCTCCCCACCACCTCACTCCAGTTGAGTGACTGTGATGATCTAGAAAAGTAGAGGGGAGTGGGCAGTGGTCACCCTGAGGCTGGAGATCTCCTAGACTGGCACAAGGATCTAGTGCCTGACCTCAGCTCACCAATCCCAGTGCAAGGCCTGCTGGTTTAGAGCCCCCAGCAGCTCAGAACAGGTCCACAAAGGACATCTAGAACAGGCCACAGCTCCAGAATTCCCAATAAGGAGCCATAGTGGGTGGGGATGGAGGAGGAAGATGAACCATGGGAAATGGTCAGACAAGCTCGTCCAGCTGTGGCCCCTAGGCCCCTGCCACTTCCTCCTCTACAAAGCTCAGGGCAGCTCAGCATGCTCTCTGGACGGTGTCAGTCAGTCCTTTTCACTCTATAGCCTGGTCATTCCCAACTCGGAGCGTCCACCCATTCCTGCAGGGAGTCTATCCAGTTGTAGGTCTGTGTGACCCACTCTCAGCCCTAGGCACAGGCTTCCTGCAGCAGAGCTAGTGATGGTGGATGGATACTGGCTTCCCATGGGACTGTGAGTCCCCCGGAATCTAAGGGGTGAGTGAGAAATTGGGCCCTGGTTGGTAAGCCAAGCCTGGTGGAGGAGGACCGCTTTGCCTGGGGTCACCAGGGGCCTCAGGACATTGATATCTGAGTCCTAGTGGGTCAAATCAGCAGGAACTGCTGTCGGGATGAACCCTAGGGTGGTTGATGCAGAGATTGATGTAATCACAGAATCTCAGGCCTGGAAGGGCCAGGAACACTTATGTCCAAACCCCTCATTTGACAGATGATGGGGCTGAGTCCAAAGAGAGGAAGTAATGTGCCCAAGGTCACCCAGCCAGTCCATTAGTGGTGTGGTTCTCTGGGCCTCAGCTCTTCTTCCCTGTGCAGGATAAGAGTGTAGTCTCAAATAGCAGCCTCACCTCTTAAAGGCTAGGGGACACCTTGAGCAAGTTACCTAGCCTCTGCGAGCCTCAGTTTCCTCATTTGCAAAATGGGGATAGTGGGAACTCTTAGAGAGTTGGCGTGAGGATTAAAAAGGCACTCAAAAGAAAGCCTGGCAGAGTGACCAGGGGGTGGTGTTAGTAGATATTTGGGGGAAGTAGCTGAGACTTTGGTGCTTTCCTGTGGGCTGTTTTCATGCACCAGACGTCATGAAAGGCTCGAGTCAGAACTAGGTCCTGTCTTGGCCACATTCAGTAGAGATCCAATCTCCTCCTTTATCTTTCAAGCCTGGGAAACAGACTTTTGTTGAGGGTGGCTTGGGGCTGGAATGGGGGCCTGTTTAGGAGAAAGGTAAAGAGGGCTAGTAGGCACTGGAGTAGGTATTATGTGCCGTAGAGTCGGTTCCGACTCATAGTGATCCTCTGCAGGGTTTCCGAGGCTGTAAATCTTTACGGGAGCAGAAAGCCTCATCTTTCTCCCGTGGAACGGCTGATAGCTTCGAACTGCTGACCTTGCGGTACGCAGCCCGATTCGTAACCACTACACTACCAGAGCTCAGCTCAGGCTGAACCAATTCATGACTTACCACCTCTGGGGACTGCCAAACCAGAGCAGGGGAGGAAGGAGCAAAGCTTCTTTTAGCTTTGCTCTTCAGCAACATTATGATGCAGATAATGTTAACTTTACTTTTTGGATAAGGCTCAGAGAGTTTAAAGTGACTTGCTAAGGTCACCCAGCTTGTGGTTATGGTTGTGAAAGGACATGTTGACCTTCCAAAAATGTCTTCAAGATATTTTTTGTCAATATAACCAGGCCTTACGCTGGGCCAAGAATGGGATCATCGGGAAGAGTCCCCTCAAGAAGACTTTGTCCTCTCTCAACTGGGTAAGCTGATGCTGGGGAGCGGAAAACTGCTCTGTAGCTCCTCCCCCAAACGCTTTCTCTTGGCCTCTGGAATGTGTTTTTCTTCTCACATTTGCATATAGGCGTGTTGCTCTGGCTGGGGATTCTTGACACTTAAATAAACAGAGAGAAGTCATACACTGGGATCCTGACTCAGGAGCCTCTGGGAAGCTGCCAGCTTCCTTAGCCTGACCTGCCTTTCCCATCTTACCCCAGCCGCGCAGGGGCCAGGCCAAGGTCCTCTCTCTAGCTGACCTGGAGGTCCATGAAGCCAAGAGGCCCCAGCTCTCTGAGCTTGCTGCTTCCATGGTACACACTGACCCTGAATGGAAAGGTCTAGAAAGGGACGGCGAGGAGTTTGATCTCTTTGTAGGTTACAGGGAGAGGAGTCAGGTCTCATGGATGCCTACTGACCGATGGTACTCACCAGGATTTGGGGGTTGTGCTCCTGGCTTGGGTAGGGAAGCCCATTGCACCAGGCCTCTGCTGAAAAGCCAGGCAGGAAAGCCTCTGCTTCGCCCACATCCACAGGGATCTCTTCAAAGACTTCCAGTGGCCCCAGGGTCTTAAAGGAGCGTCCATCATGGGCCAGGGCAGTCTGGGCCTCAGGGAAGACGTCCTCATGGAAATGCCGTTTGTACGGGTGGAAAGGCACATGGCTGCCCTTGAGGAAGCGTCCCGGGCTGCCTGCCGGGCCCTCCTCAAATCCAAAGCCACTGGGGTACTTGTCCGAGGGTGAGAGCCGGAAGGGGCCCAGGCTGGGGCCCGCTGGGCAGTGGCCCTGCACTTGCTCAGGGCCTGGTGACGCGATGCTGGGGCTGTGTGGGGGCAGTGAGGGTGCTCTTTCTGGAGGGCCATCAGGCACAAAGGATGAGCAGCTGAAGCTGGCGTGCTTCTAGGTGGACAGAGGAGAGAGAACCTATAAGTGGAGTTTAGTAGGACTGCAGACCTGCCAGGATCCTACTCTATGCTGGGGTGAAGGGGTCTGTGAAGGGGTCTGTGGCTGGCCCAGATGATGGAGGAGACACAACCTGCCCTTGGAAGTCCCAGTCTAATGAGGACACCCTGCCACTAAACCTTGGAAGTGCCAAGTCTGATGGGGCTCCCCCAGTCCTGCCCTAGGAAAGCAGAGACCTGGGTCTAAACACTTCTGGATCATGGGGTCACTGAGTGCTTGCTTGCTGGTGGAAGGGATAAGACAGACCCTGGGGGTGGCTGGGTAAGGGGTGACTGGCCCATCTGCTGGCCTTGGTGCAAAATACTTACGCTCTGTGGGGCAGGGGAGCCTGGGAGGCCCGGCGCCTGCATGAGGTCCCCTTGGGGCTCGCCCTCCAGTCTGGTGGGGCCCGGCAGTGTGATGTCAGATTGTGGTGGGAGCAGCGACACCATCACCCAGTCCTGGCCTCGAAGAAAGCCGGCTGCGATGAGAGCAAGGACCAGCGTCCAGGGGTGACCAGCCCAGGTCCACTCCCACCCCATCCCTCCATCCAGTCATCAGAGAGACAGACAGGCAGACAGAAGGACAAAATTAAGATACATCAGAACCAGAAGGAAACAGACAACAATGGGTACAGAGCGAGGATCAAGGGAGCCAGCCAGGTGCCCTGGGAAGAGGGTGGGCTTAGTATGTCTGAGGGAAACCCTGGCTCCTTGGGCTTAGTCTCAACTGTGAGGGGCTGGGCTAGGCAATCTCTCTTCAGTAAGGATAGAAGGATGCTGGGGTCAGGTAGGGCCCAGGAATGTGGTGGGGGCTATACTGTAAAGCAACTAAATCTTCAGTGGTGGCTGGACTTGGGGCACCTTTGGGGTCCTATCCTGGCAGCATGACCACAGTGTACAGCTGGGGGCTCGAGGGGTCTGGCATTACCTGGTGGCTCCTGGACCTGTGAGGCACTGGAGATGTCACTGACTCACTGTGTGATGGTCAGCATGTGCTGTATTCACCTACATCCTCCAAACTCCCACACTTACCTATGACTTTGTGCAGGCCCTGGCCCTTTCTCCATTTGAAAAGCTAGGTGCTTGAACTAGATGGTGTCTGAGGATGCTTTCTGCTCAGACCTTTTAGAATTATAGGAGAACTCTGACCTCAGCATAGCTGAGTGCTTAAGAAAGCTCAGGGCTCTAAGCCAGGCTTGGGCCCTGCCTCAGTGAGTTCTCTGAGCTTCAGCAGCATCACTTATAAAATTTCACAGAACTGTAAGTATTAAATGAAATTATGCATAGAAAATACTATGTGAAGTCCTGGTGTGGTACTGTAGGCTAAGCACTGGACTGCTAACTGCAAGGCCTGTGGTTCAAATCTACCAGCTGATCCTCGGAAACCCTCTACAGGGTTACTATGAGTTGGTATCAACTCAACGGCACTTAACAACAACAAATTGCTGGATAAATGTCAGCTCTCATTAAAACCATTATCTGTAAGGCTGTTATTACCCTCAGCTCTGCCTTCTCCACCTGCATAGGGCAGCTCCTCTTGAAGTTACTCCTTTGGCCTAGGCCGTTTCTAATAAAAGCTATCATTTACTGATGGTTTGGAGTCCTGGTGTGGCGCTGTGGGTTAATGTGCTGGACTGAAAAACTGGTTTGAACTACAAGGTCAGTGGTTCAAGATCACCAGCCACTCCTTGGAAACCCTATACAGAGTCGCTATGGGTTGGAATTGACTCGACAGCAAACAACAACAATGGAGGGTCTGCTCTGGCTAGCCATTGTATAAATGATTTGTAAGATTTTTTCTCATAAAATTCTAACCACAAACCTGTGAGAAAGGAACATTTTTAACTCCACTTTCCAGATGCAAAAACTGAGGCTTAGCGGGGTTATATAACATTCTCACAGCACATACTAATTTTTGACAGTTCAGGATTTGCGCCAAGATCTGACAGCAGGCCCTGTACCCCTCTTCCTGTTTCTTCATTTGCTAGGGGGTGAGGGTGGAAAGTGGGAGAAGCTGGAAGGTTTATATTAATTCCCCCTATACAAGACTCCTATACAAGCTGTGGGCTAATGCATCAGACTTCAAAGTCATTTGAATTGCAAGGTCCGTGGTTCAAGCTCACCAGCGGCTCCTTGGAAACCCTATACAGGGTCGCTATGGGTTAGAATCAACTCTATGGCACTTAGCAACAACAACAACAACATACAAGATTCCCTGAAGCCTTTCCCAGGTCATGCTGTCCAGGAATTCTGGGAGGAGGGATGACTTTAGGTCACAGTGTCCTGAATGGGGTGGGTACATCTTTGTTAAATAAGCCATCTCCTTTATTTGGCAGAGGGGGTCATGGGGACAAGGAGGGGAGAAAACTTGCCCTAAGTCCCACCAGGATGAGTGGCAGAGGGGGCTGGTAACTGAGGTCCAGGTGGGGAATGGTGGGGAGGCTCTCCCGCCTCTCCAAGAGTCCTTATCAGCCCTTCTCCATGTCCTGGCGCCTGCTCACTCGGCAGTGCTAAATGTGGCGTGACTGGGGAAGCGCGGAGCTGGCCGTAACTGGACACCGAGATGGAGCAGGCCTGGGGCCCGAGTGTGAGGCAGCCCATCTCTGGCTCTGCATGATCGCCTGGCCTGGCCCCCGTTCCCTGGACAGCTCCTCCTGGACAGTGTGGGCCTGCCTGCCACACCTCACTGGCCCAGGGCTGCTTCCCCGGGAGGTGGTGCAAGGTTTGGCACCTTCCCAAAGCGTTCTCCAGCTCCTCCAGCTGCAAAGCCAACAGCAGCCAGGGGGCCCCTACCTCCTCCCCAAAAGGGGGCTTTGTATTGGTGGGAAAGTGGTAGCTCCCCTCCTTGGAGGCAGGAACATGGTGGTGATGAGCAAGAATTTTGGACTTGGGTAGACCTGTGTTTGAGTCCCAGCTTTGCCGTTTTCTGGCTGTGACTGAACCACCTTTATCTCCCTATGTCTCACTTTCCTCATCTGATAAATGGGGATATGGATCCACCTCCCAGGGTTGTAATAAGGATGGAATGAGATGGTGTATATAAGGTACATGGAAAATGCTCAAGGACACATATCATACATCTGGTCTCAGTTGGTCAAATGTGGTTGGGTCCAAGGCCCTCTGACCCTAGACCCTATAGTTTCCCTTAGGAGCCCTGGGGAGACTGACTGAGAAAACCTTTCCCCAGGTGGCACCTGCCCTTGCTAGTTCTTCCTCACTGCCTGGCTGCCATTCACTGGGGCTTCAGAGGACTCAGACCTGTTCCTCCTCCTGAGGGTCTCGAAGCCCCCACAAACAAGATTGGAAACCGTGGAGGAAAGACTTATTATAAACGCTATGCAGAGTTCAGAGGGCTTGCCCTTCAATTTTCATGGAAAGTGCCGAAGTCTCTGAGTAGTCTTCCATCTACGGTTTTCTGTGGGCAGGTTTTGTAAGTGGTGACCTGGTTTGGTGGCCATGACATCCCCTCAGTCCCCTCACTTGAAGCTCTATTTTACAAATGAGGAAAGGAGGCCCAGGGATGTTGGATGATTTTCCTAAAACTGCACAGCCCAGTCCCTGACCAGATGCCTTTGAAAAGGCATTCCAGGCTCAAACTGGGCAGAGGGGCTCCAAGAGGTGTATACGAGGGCTCAGCCCTGTCCAATACAGGAGAAGGACTCACTGGGAGAAGGACAAGTTTGCTTTAGCCCTTCAGACCTCCCTGGAGTAGTCACCAGGGTTCCTAAAGTTGGATGATCTAGATTGAAAGCTCTGAATCCCAGTAGCTGTGAACTTTGGTTGGACAAGATGTTCAACTTCCTTTCCTGGGCCTCAGTTTCCTCATCTGTAAAATAGAGCTAATAATACATACCTCTCTTGAGGATTAGATGAAATATTGCTTGTAAATAGCTTAACATATAGTACGTGTTCAATAAATGATAGCTATTATTAATAATTAGCAGTGGGACAGTGTTAATTTAAGGTATGAGCTGGTGGGGGAAGGGGGAGACCAGAGGGAACTCCCCTTTCCTTCCTCCCACCTTCTCCTCCTTGACATTGACCTCCCCTTTTAGCAGAGACTAGCCTCAGCTATTCCTGGCTCAGTGGTACAGCCAGGACCTGTAGAAGCTCTAAGGGATTAGAGTAGCAAGGAGTGGGTGAATCTGTTGGTTTGGATCTCTCAGGAGGCCTCTGTGATGGTTCCAGTGTCCTGGGGCTGGCATCTCTATAGGAAAGGAAACTTCCATTGAAGTCCAACCTTTATCCTGGCTGCTGTCATTTCAGGGAGCATGATGAAGGTGGGTAGGCAAATATAAATCAAGTTAACCAATGCAGGAGGTACAGCCAGTTTTCTACTCCCTTCTCAGATCCCAGGAACTACCCTAGATGGCTCTCACAACTCTGTCACTTTAATGTGGGTTTCCATAATCTACAACCTGCTGTCTTCTCAGACTGGAACTAGGCCAGGGCTGCCAATGGTGGACTATGCCCTGCGGTCCTCTTGACTGTAGGATGTTTCACATCTACTGAGCATTTTGCAGTTTACAAAGCACTTTCATAGCCATTATCTAATTTCATCCTCCTTCTGCCCCTGAGGGTAGCAGGCAGTAGTGTGTCGGAGCCAGCTGGTATGGACTTGCAAGAGTCAATTGTACCCATATTATCCCAACTCCAAGACCAGTGAAATAGACCTAAAGTAACGTAGGGGAGAGGATTTACCCATTCCCATGTAAATTAGTAAATGCTACAAATCAGAGCCTTGTGTTGTTGTTGCTGTTGTTGAGATCAGCACACCCACTAGCAGGAAAGTAAAGTTATTAACCTCATTTTTTAGGGGAGCAAATTGAGGCCCAGAAAGAGGAAGTGACATGTCCAGGGCTACACAGCTGATAGTGCAAACCCCATCTCTTCATTCTCAGGCCTCGAGATCCCCAACTGCACCCCTAAAACACACACTCCAGGGATGTAACCCCGGAAAAACATGTGGCAGAAGACCATGAATATCTGGGCATTCTGTCTACCATCTAAACTCGAACCTTTGCCTCTTCTCTTCTTACTATGGTCTTTGAGGAGTTGGGAGTTAGGTGTGAGGAGCAAGGGAGTAAACTTGTTCTGCCGTTGAGCAGAGGGAAGAAAGCAATGACCTCCCCTCTCTGGCCTGAGTAGGTGAGAAGTTCCCCAGAAAGCATGGCAACAGTGATCAATAATATGGGCGGCCTGATGGCACAGTGGATTAAGCATTGGGCTGTTAACTGAAAGGTCAGTGGTTCAAACTTATCAGCTGCTCCAAGGGAGGAAAAGATGAGGCAGTCTGCTTTCGTAAAGATTTACGGCCTCAGAAACCCTATGGAGAAATTCTACTCTGTCCTACAGAGTTACTATTAGTTGGAATCCACGCCACAGTTGTGGGTAGTAGGTTACTGTATCCCTGCTTCGGGCCCTTCTCACAACAGCCAAGCCCTACCCATCCACCTCTCCCCACTTCTCAGA